TCCAGGGGCGAAGGTTGACTTGTTTGACAGGGTGAGACAACGAACCAGAGTGGGATGAGGTTACCGGTGTTTGTGATGGAACGGGCTGGAGCTTCGCTGTCGCAAGCAGAAGACACGAGTTCGATTTCCAAGTGGGGAGAAAATGTTTATCGGGTATCTCTGTCTTTCAGCTGGGATGTATCCCTCTCAGCCCGGGTGGGCCCTGACAGGCTGGGCCGGAAGCTTGCCTCCTACATGATCTAAATTGTGTCGATGGAGGTGTACAAACAAAGATGAGGCGACACAGGAAAATCTTTCCCACAATAGGAACATAATTAACAAAACTGTTTATTCGAGGCAGCATCACTGAGTGAGTTATGAATAAAAGCACATTTTCTCCCGAGTTATTGTTACGTACGTTCACTCGCCAACAGAACTGAGATACGTCTAATTAAACTGTTATTTCGACTTCGAGCAAAATGTAGTTATAACTTTTAAACTTGCAATGGGAATAATTGCCTGAATATTTCTAAATAGTAAATGTAACTAAATATATGAATACACAAACAGAAGGCAAAAAACAGAGGTAACAATAAAGCAAATGTATTTTCAATTTGGTTTTAAATTGCGCTGTCTTCATCTTGCCTTTCATGGTCAGGAGCCGATATCATAATCATGCCATGATCTGATTATACAGCAGTAAACAGTCGAGAAAAAGAAATAAAAAAGAAGAAGAAAAACTTGCATTCCCAGAAACCATGAAATTATCAGGAACTAGATCTAGTTCGCCCTTCTTCTTTGTGAGGTAGACTACCAGTCTGGTTGTAAGCTAACGTAATCAGTGCTTGTGACTGCTTATGAGAGTGGCCCGAGAGGGGTAGACAGGGTAATTTTTTTTTTTACGGCAAAGTAACAATTTTGGCATTGGTGATTTCATGAACTTCTATTCAAATTTATACGGTCTACGTCTGTGAGTGAATTTGACTTCGATTATGTTACCAAATAAAGGAAGGGAAGCTGTGATTTTTTGATGATATAGACGCTCTTCCCCTGAATGCTTTTACCACGGACCATGAAGCATTATCACGAAGTTTAATAATTTATGTTTGAACTACTATACAGATTTCTTGTATGAGAACACAAAAACAGACGAAAGCACAACCTCATTCAATCTAAATGTTTGCAGAGGTTTAAAAGAATGCTCATATACATCAACTCTCAGTTGGTTTAATTCCATAATATCATGATAAATAAAATATATTATATATATATATATATATATATATATCTATATATATATATATATATATATATATATATATATATATATATATATATATACACGCGCACACACACACACACACACACACACACACACACACACACACACACACACACACACACACACACACACACACACACATATATACTGTGTAAAACGGAAACCTGTCTTAACCGAATCTCCCCACTCCCCCCTTGATATATTCCTCTTTAAATACCTGAATAAAACGGAAACCTTTTCCATGCGGAAACTGAAAGAAAATTCCGCTCCCTTCCGAGGGTTTTACGGAAAATGCTCTGCCCGCTCAGCCCTGATTTGAAACAAAACTCACAAGTTTGGTTCCGCCTGCCCTAAACGTAAGACTATGCCGCGATTTGCAGGTACATGTTACCCTATCTCTATGTGAGCCCGGAGCTAGGCCTTTTCAGTTCAAACCACAGAATTCTACACATCGGTTAAGACGATTTGATATAGATCTGAGTCATTGTGTAAAAGTAGGAGAATCTAGATCTAGGTGTGCGATAGTTCAGTAGCCTAGATATTTGATAATAAGTTACGCATCACATTTTTGACCGCATGCTACAGTAGTAGAGATAGCGTATTATTTTCATCCGAAACATTCATTTCCGCATCCGTACACCTTTTTGGGCCTTTATAAGCACATGTAGTCCTACTTTTATTATGTTACTTTCATAATTGTTTTTGAAAGCATTTTCAATTCCTTCCACTTTCACTTCCCACGTGTGGGCTCATATAATTATGATTATAATTTAATATTCCAAATCTGACGAATGTATTATTAAATAGCGTATAATGCTGAGTTAGCCAATGCATTGCAATGCGCGCTATTACCAATTATTGAATTGTAACAAGACTTCAATTTGATCCGTAACAAGACAGAGACCACTTATTTTTTTAATACGTGTTCATGAATGTGTGTTTGTTTACTGTGTGCGGGCATTAAAGATTCCAGGTCTGGCGAATGCATTTATTAAATAGCATATGCCTATAGGGCAGGGGTGGCCAACGCATTGCGATACGCACTTTTATCAATTAATCGAATTGAAACAGGACTTCAATTTGATCCGGGACAAGAGACCACTTATTTTTTCTTATTCGTGTTCAAAAATTTGTGTTTGTTTACTGTGTGCGGGGATTACAGGGGGACAAGCCCATCCCCTCGACATGTGATCCAGGGTATTGGGAAACATTTTTCTCAAAATGTACACAGCTCTGAAATCCTTGACCAGTGATCACTCACCATGGAACTCTTTCTGTTGTGACTGTACACACAAGTTTCTTCATGATCACATCTGAATAAGCCTATCAGTTAAGCATTAGAAATCACACTCCCAACACACAGAAAATGACTTTGAACATATATTCAGGAAACATATGCCAGTTCCACTCTTGTTTTCTTTGTTTTGCATTATTGGCTTTTATGTGTAAACCAATATTTTGAGGCCTTTTCTGCATTTTTGTGTTTTTGGCAGCATGTACAATAGGCCTATGTATTTTATGTGCAACCGACACATTTTCCAATCTCTTGTATTTGTTAGACTCGCACGTGCTTTAAACAAAGCATGTTGTTGTACACACTACTGATGCAAACACAGAGATGAATTCTTAAAGTGAGAAATAATACATTTCCTCAATATAAGCTCAATTTATTTATCTCTTTCTAGTAAATTGAAGAAAAGGCTTATATTGTTCTTTTCTGCTTGCTTTGGATGGCCTTATGACAATATTATTGTAGTGAACATGTTACTGTCAGCGTCCCCTTTATCGTAGATCTAGTACTAGTCAAGACTATATCTAGATATTTTGCCAACAGAATTAGTGTTCATAATTAGTGTTATTATCAAGTGTATTGTGATTGTGAAGATCTTTAGTAGATCTAGAGATCTAGATCTATCTAGATCTAGATCCCATCCCATCATTAAAAAAACAACAAACCAACAATACAAATACAAAAACATTGTAACATTGCCAATTATGACATATTGTTGGCAATAAAAATGCACTAGACTGTTTCACTATATTTCCTCTTCGAAGAAAGTTTTAAAATACTGATGTAAGGTGTCTTCCAAGCCCTACCACTAGCATCAGCATGCATAGCAACGCGAAGCCTCGCTGTGCGGCGCACCCAAAGGTGCCCTCAACAGACCGCCATGTTTTAGTTTCAATTCCTCACAGCGAATCAGCGATCGCAAAGAGGGAGTTCTGCTTCTATAAGTGTAGAATTCTGTGGTTCAAACTGAGAAGGTCTAGGCCCGGAGCGATGCAGATGGTCAGGGTTCTGGGTGATGTGGGTGTGAAATCTCACGAGTGCCAGTGACAGTGCTTAAGTACCAAACCACTACGAAGACTTTCCTGGGTAGCCAGAAGCCAGAGGGAGGTGTAAAATTAATTTGACCAATGCCTGCCGCCCTGATCGTACGCCCATCAGGGACAAGAGTTCCTCGAGTCGTTGTTACGTGGCAGTGAGGGGTGGCATTGGTTGATTGTACTTGTTACACCTATGGGTGGGGCTAAGGGTGGAAGCAAAGGAGATGTTCAAACATTTCTGTTTTTAATAGGTCGAACAGTGGTCCTATGAAATGCAAGCATTGGTTTTAATTGGATAAGTAAGACTGACCCATGTCATTATCAGAGAAGATAGCAGTTGAGAGGTGTGAAGTTTTGACCACTGCTTACCGACCGGACAAGCGACCCTTGATCCCACCGACTGGGCCTTTAAAACCCCACTCCATCCCCGCCCCCTTCAATTCACCTGGAAAATGTCTAAGACAATTTTATTCTTGCTCTCTTGCGATTCCGTCTTACACAGGTTCGAATGTATATATATATAATTTATGTATATATATATATATATATACATACATATATATATATATAAAACCTACATAGCATGTATTAATATTAATATAACAATATAACAACATAAACTAGGAGCGTGCGACCAACAGATTAAGAAAAACAAACAAACAAACAAACCCAGAGTAATTCACAAGGTTTGGACTGGTATAATATCATAAATAAATATGTTCACAATAGAGAAGAAAATTATGTAAAAAATTGCAATCTTGTATAAAAGAGAGAAAAAGCCCTCAACAAAACACACAACTAAATTCTATTTATAGAAAACTTTCACAGACATTGCAACAACCTTAACGAAAAAATGTTAGATAATAATACCCAATAACACAATGTACAACTGTCTCCTCAGCCTACTCAAGACTTTCTCTACAGGTTACTTTGTTTCTCTGTCCGACTGCGTCTGTCTGATAGTATAATGTATACATTTTTCTATCTCAACTTTGTGAACCGCAGTACGCTTAGTGTTAAATGGCAAATAAGGGTTGTAAACAAGAGTTCATTTTCCCACATTCTGAATCTAACGTGCTAAAATGTTAATCTTCAAAATGGATTAAATTGTTTAATTACGGTAATGTAATGTTTACCCTTATACATACATACCATAAATAAATTATATATATATATATATATATATATATATATATATATATATATATATATATATATATATATGTATATATAAAATAAAAAATAAAATAAAACAACTATAGTAATAATAATAATAAAAGATAATAATGGTAATAACAATAACAATAATAATGATAACAACAATAATAATATATTAATAATATTAACAATATTATTAATAATAATAATAATAATAATAATAATAATGATGATGATGATGATCATCATCATAATAATCATAATAGTTATTATAATTCCCTGTCTATCCATGCAGCAAAACGCTGTACAAAACATAAATCGTACTTTAGGTAATCTATTAATTCATTCTCGTATTTTCAGCCTTTCTCAAATACTCATGCTCTGACGATAAAATATAATGACGTCTTTGGTATAAAAGAAATATGACTACAATCTATTACAACAATTAATGTCTGCGTTTCACAAAGCGTAAGCTGTGAGGATGGGGGACGTATGTGATTCCCACATGGCCTTCTAAAGCTGGAAGCCTTTCCGAGTCCGTTGGAAGAATCTCGAAGTGCTGTATGATTGACGTGAGAAAAAGAAAGACCTCCATCTTGGCAAGAGATTTGCCCGGGCACATCCGTGGACCTGAAATTGAAATAATTGGAAACTGTTTGTAGAAAAAGCACACAAACAAACAAAAGATAAATTATAGAGGCATGCACAGCCTGTTGAGGGCCTATTTTCTATCGTCATCTTTGCTTAATATTCTGTAAGATGCCCCCCCCCCCCCCCCCCAATCAAAACCATTTGAGTACCGATACCATGATCAATACTATCAAGACGATCGAGGTATTCCTCTTAACACATGTCGCTGGTCCTCGTTTCTCCGCATGACAGGGGTGCCAGGTTAATAGCGTTCCTACTATTTCCAAACATTGCAATATAATATAAGGTTTTGAGTTGCCACTAAACAAACTCTGAGTAAAGTGATAGGCTATATTTCTTTTCTCTACACAAACCCTATCAAGTTTGTATGAAAATGTTAAGTCGTATCGCTCCTACAATGTGAATTGTAGTGAAGCTGTTTGTTGACATTCCAATGGCACTACTTGCTCATATCGATGCGCCCAGCAGAATATCATGTTAGCCTACATTGACTCTTGCTTGCGCTTGAGATAGGACAACGTTTAGTTAACCCACAATAATTATGATGAACCTCCACTCTGTCACACGTACACACACACACACACACACACACACACACACACACACACACATACACACACACACACACACACACTCACACACACACACTCACACACACACACACACACACACACACGCATACACACATACACATTATATACGCATACGCACACGCACACGACATGCACACACACACACACACACACACACACTCACACACACACACACACACACACACACACACACACATATGCACACACACATGCACATATTATGATCATTGCTCTTTCATTCTTTCACTATGTACCTCAAATGTGTAGTAGACTTTTTTGAAACTTTAGATTTACCAGCTTAAAGGGACATGGATCAATGGATCAATTACAAAATAAGGATAAGCATACCCTTATTTGACAAGTGAACTTCTCACTAAAATCGCCAAAAGTATGACTGTATGGAGTGAGGTTACAAGATCGCGAAGAAGTTGAATATTGCCCAGACACATAACTCTTTCCGGTCGCAGGAGACACGATGTGCAGTAGACCAATAGCAATGTTGCTGCACATTTCCAGCTATTATTTACAACGCAGAAATGCGAATTTGCAAATTTTATAGTACGCATGTCGTTGCACGTAAATTTCGGATAAAATAGAATTTAAAAATTGTGTTTGAATAACGCGGTCATGCGTCTTTTTAAAAGTGTCCTAAAACAGCACACCTTCAACATTTGTGGAATGACGTGAACGCGTGTCTCCAAAGAGTTAAAGCTATACGTTCTTACTACGATCTCTCTGACCGTCTAGAGTTAAAAAGCCAAAGTAGCTGTTGCTACAGGTGGTGAGTTCATAAGCGAGATAACCGCATCACCGTAGGCTCGTCTCTTTCATGGGTGGCTGCACACATCTTGGAGTCTTTTATGAATCATCATCGCCGGTCATGTGAGCGCCTTTTGAAGCTTGCAGTAGATTTACGTTCCGAATATCGAGCGCTGCCGCTTGTAGCAGACGACAGGGTACTGCTTTATAGTTTTACTCTTGACTGAGTGATTGGAACGATTTAACTTACACCCCTATCAACTCAATTTATATCATTTAGGAGGCTGGTTACTTCAGCCCTGCCTGCAAAGGCCAACCCGGGCTGAGTTGGGCGCAGTATCCCAGCATAAAGACGGGGATATTTATAATTAAAGACATTTCCAATTAACAAAACGAACTTGCGTCTTCTGCAGTCAACAGTTAGGATCCTAATCAGTTTACCAGGTCCTCAGATCAATCATAATGGTAAGGGTGTACGTAGTGGCGGGATAAATGGCTTGAGTTCCTCCCTCCTCCCTTTCCCCCGACTCTGAAAAAAGTTGCATACTATTTGCTTCAGAATCTCCAGCCTCTATTTGTACGCAGTGAACACACACACACACACACACACACACACACACACACACACACACACACACACACACACACACACACACACACACACACACACACACACTTACTCGTTTATCTAATCACCGTTGTCACCGCTTACAACGAAAGTAACCTAACAGCCAATCAAGTATCCTTAGGGTTTAGCAAAGAATGAGCCCGTTCCCACTGTCATTTCTTAATGAAACTCTTCTTTTCTAAAGGTAAAAGGTTAAAAGATAAATAAATACTCTCGAAACTGTAGTCTATCAACCCTAACAATGGCGTGAAAAGTTTACGACACACTTTCCCCGAGAGACACAGTTATCAACACAGTTATTGGACCTTCGTTAGGAATGTCTTTTTTTCTGTGAGTACACGGCATAATCCAGGTACAGCTTACTTTGTGTTTTAGTAGACGGAGCATGATTGCAATGCTGTGGTGCATGCCGGCACTCACACTTGATTTTCAGTTCTACAGGACCAGAGGTGCCGCTCGCTTTCTGACTATGCGGGATGTGTTACTCTAACATGAATAACTCCGCCCCTAGTAAATCTAAAGACATGAAACCTCACTAAACTGTTGAAAATATCTTGCCCTGTACTAAGACATATTTTGATTGAAAGAAATATTTTAATTAGGGTCATTTAGGTGTAATCAGTTATGCAATACTAAGCCTTTGTCCAGAGTCAGTTCCTAGCAGGGATAAAAGACTAGATCTAGATCTACTTACTTATAGAGTAAATTGTTCCTCAAATCAATCATAACTGATTCCAGATCTATTTGAATACTACCGATCCAAATAATCAAGGTTATTGTCCGAGTCAATACTTCATGAGCGTGAAAATCTCAGTCAACAGTACTTGATCAGATGGTTTCCGGACTCTGTGGATTGTCTACGTTTGTGATACTATGTATACACACCATTGTAAAACAAACAAAAATTCCGGAGAACATCAGTTAAGTAGAACATTTCTGTAAATAGTAATTTTTGAAATATTATATTCAGCTTGTGAACGGAAACCTCACTTGTTTACCATGGCATCTTAGAAGACAAACTTTTCCAAGATTAGATCTAAACGAAATTAATGAAAAACTGAAAATTATACTACAGTGACTTCAGACCCCTTGATATAACGGTGCACCCTTTAGATCTAAATGATTATGACCCACCGTTAATTTGTTCAAATTCGAAAGTTAAGTGGTTCGGAAGTATAGGCGACCAAAGTGATGAACTTTCCAGAATATAATATACATGTATATATATATTATATATATATATATATATGTATATATATATATATATACATATGCTCCTCCTCTTACGTCTTTTTCAGCCTGTGTTTTTCTATTACTTTAGTCTTGTTGATGCCTGCCACCCTGAGAGCGATAAAATAGAAAGGACCCAGCACAATTAATAGACTCACAATTTTATACTGATGAATGACATCTTTTCATTATATTTGGGTGAACTTACCAATAAAAAAGGGCATCAATTCTTTTCGATTCACAACACTCCCGTTATTGTCCAGGAAGCGGCTTGGTCGAAACTCCAACGGGTGTTCCCAAATATCGGGATCGTGGTGAACCGAGTTAACATTGGGAATGACGACACAACCAGCTGGAATGGTATATTTTCCTAAAGTTACTTCCTCGAAATTCGAATGAGGAAGAACGAACGGAGCAATGTCCCCCAGTCTTTGGATTTCCAGTATAGCAGCACTTGTAAATGGCATGCCTTTCTTATCCAGGATAGATAGTTGAGTGCGGCCTTTTAACGTACTGATGACTTCCTCGTAGATTCTCTGCTGCATTTCAGGATGTCGGACAAGAAATAAAAGGGCCCATCGTAATGTGGTGGCGGTTGTTTCCGTTCCCCCGACGAATAGGTCACCAACAAGTTTTAGCAGTTGAGTTTCTGTAAAAGAAAAACAAGAGACGATCTAATAAACTATAACAGAACAAATTATTTTATTTTATTGTTGTTCTTGGTGTCTTTGTTTTTAAATAGACACCAAGTCAGGCATGGGCAAACTACGGCCTGGGGTCTAGATTCAGCCCTCGAGCAGTTTCAGTCTGGCCTGTGAGTTGACCCAGTAAGTTTGACTGATAATGAATGTGGTGCATTGTGATTTGAAAAAGAATAAAAACAAAACTGTCTGTCTTGAAAACAAAATTTACTATTTTCTGGTTCACCTGAAAGCAATAGCTTTAATATCTTATCTCGTGAAATGCCAATGAGTGAAAAATGACTGTCATTATGCCACTTTTTAACATTATCCTGTCTTGACTCCAAGATATTCGAAATCGCTTGACCAGGCCCCAGACTTGGGGCACACTTGTCTATGCCTGCTCTAAGCCCCCCGTTTTTCATTTATGGCCCACATTGTGTCTAGTTTGGAAGGAACGTCGGAAAAAAACCACGAAATTATTGTTTTGGTTTAACACTGTTAGATTGATTAAGACGCCGGATCTCCGAACTTATCGCCCATCTCCAATGCGACAGAGCAACTTTGGAATATTCGTATAAAGGGCCTCTACCAAGGAGACTACACCGGATCAAGCTGTTCGTCGAAGCCTCCAACTCACAATCTCACAATTTTGAGTCACGACGCCTAACCACAACACAGCCGAATAAACGTCAACACGGGGGTTCTCGTGGTCTTGAGGTACGGTGTTCGCCTCTCATTCAATAGGTCCCAGTTTCGAAATCTGAAGGCGATGAAACATTTTCTTCTCTAAAATATTTTCTCCTTTCACCTTTCCTACTCTCTAATCATGTTTTGTCTTCTGCTTTTGTCTCCACTTTCTGCCCCCCTCCCCCCCACCTACCCCCTCCTCTGGGCTCATGACTCTTTCTTCAGCCTTTCTACTGCTACTCCATGGCTCCTTCTTACTGCTGTCTTCCAACCATACCCTTGATCTTAGGGTAGGTTTGATCGAACACCTGGTCTTCTCGGATAAAGGCGAAAATATGTTGGAGGGCCCATGTGCACGTTGCGCACGTTACAGATCCCTCTGTGGTCCTATAAATCGATAAGCATAAGAGTAGGCTTCGGCGCCACCCGAGCAAAATTCAAAGTTAATTTCTACAAAACTGAAAAATGCTTAATGTGTCCTGCGCTCTCATATGACTTTATGTTGTTGCAAGCGCATAAAACACTTTCCCAAAAATACAACTACAACCAAACAAAACAAAAGAAAACAAAAGAACCCCCCCGACCCCCAGAAACAAAAGTTAACACATAAACTTCAGCACAAAATAATGCAGCACATCAACACAAACATGGTTATACGGCCGGTGGGAAATTAAGAAAGCACAAAAAATAGAAACTGTTCTAAAAACGTGCTGCATTTGAATTCTGTTGCACTAATAAGAGGAAAACGTACATACTCAGAGATGTTCTTTTTGGGGGGAATTATCTACCTGTGAAGCGCATAATAGGAGAAAAAGAGAACGTCCGTTCTTACCGTCCATGGTTGTGGCTTCGCCGGTCTTCCGCTTGGTTTCCAGCTCTAGGATGTATCTGTCGATGATATCACGTGGTTTGGATGGGTCCAAGGTTTTCCTATGCCTCTCTATCCATCTTTTCAGAATCACCTGGATTTTGTCCACGTTGTCAAGACAAGCACCGCACTTAAACGGATCTCCCGGCAAGTTTTCAAGGAAAGGGAAGTAATTGACGATAGAGGTGCTTCCAGATATTCTCATGTTTTCGTCAAAGATGTTGAGAATGTCCTTGAAATCGGGATCCTCGTACTCGAATCTTTTCCCAAAGCAGATGGAGCATATGATGTTGCTCATGGCTGTTTGCACGCAGAAACGCGGGTCGAAATCATCTCCTTTGGTAGAGTCGAGGACGTCCAAAAACGGTTTGATTTCCTCAACGACATTTTGTTGGAATGTCGTTTTTCCAATTCCAAGTTCTTTCATGTTGCTGAGGACAAACCCTCTGTGTTCCTTCCACACATGTCCTGATGAGTGCACAACAGCTGAGGAAGCAAGTAAATTAATGTTAACAAACCAACATGAAACAGATTATCTCGGAGAAAAAGGTGGGCTAAGACTGGGACGCTCAACTGGTTTTATGCTGGACTTCGATGCGGGTGGCTCTGGTTTGAATTCCTCCCTCCCCAAACCCTTCACACACACACACACACACACACACACACACACACACACACACACACACACACACACACACACACACACACACACACACACACACACACACACACACACACACACACACACACATTCACTTGACGTTGGCCTGTCGGAAATCACCATTAAATTCGAAAGACCGGTCTTGTAGTTAGCTAAACATTCATTGTACATAGCATTGATAAGGCCTTTATACACATGCCAAACTTGGACAGATGGAAGGCAACACAAGGTAACGCCCAAGGCTTGATCCATTTGATTTAGTCGGGCCAGCCAGTGTTTCCTTCATTGAATGAGAGGTGAGGGGGGGGTGAGGAGGTGCAAAGCTATCATTGTGAGACATGACAATACTACCGACTCAACTTGCTGTTTCGAAAAACAGACATGTTTGATTTTAAAGATCAAAGTCAAATTTAGTTGAATTCGGTCCCATTGTGCCAAAATGGTAGCTCTTGCTCGACTGGAACAAGTGGATCAAATTGGATGTGTGCGTTCGGTATCAAGGATGAGGAGATATTGATACAATAACACCAATGCGTGTATAGTCATCACCACGTTTGACGGCACACAAATCCTCGTTGAAAGGCTACACGCTTTATAGAATAAACAAAGTTCGGAAGCTAACAGACAGACAAACAAACAGGCAAACTTGATACGTATACTAACGCTTTGACTGTCTCACGGTTGCCATTAGAAAAATCTGACATGCTTACTTTAAAGAAAAGAAAAAAGAAAAATAATTATGGTCTTAAATAGGCACAACATCCTTTTTTTTGGGGGGGGGGGGGGGGAGAGAGAGAGAGAGAGAGAGGGGGATCTTGGACTCAATGTCGCAAACACTTAAATAGGCCTGCTTTCTTTCTCTATTGGTGTCTGTAATCGATTATGTGTTTGTGCTAAGATATGGCTAATCGTAAAACATGCTTTGCACCCTGATAGGAACAGTTCAGACTATATAATATATAGGACAAAGACTACATGGACAATATCCAAGACAATGGGCGCCGGTTATGGGGAATGTTACATTACAGCACAAAGACAGAGACTCCATAGAATTTCTGGCAAAAATAAATATATCCCCCTCCCCCACCCCCTCATTCTTAAAAAACGTTTCAAGCGTCTTTAGCAAATAACATCACAGCGACCGTATCGACCCGCACAGAAAGTGGGGACCTCAAATGTCCGTACAGGTCAAGTTAGTCCCGAATAGAGAGAACAAAAGTTTACTTTGACCAAAATATTATGTACAAAGAGCCCATCATTGCACCACAGATCCCTGTCCCACTACTGAATTACCTAGCCCGTTAATAAGAAATCAAAATTAGATCTCATACGCTGAAAGACCCCTAGACGTTTCATTTCTCTTAACTTAAAGTAGCCATTTCAGTTTCTCATCTTAGTTACTAACTAGATGAGTTCTGGGGGTAAAAATGTGAAACGAATTCTAATACCTTTCAGGGAAATAATAGACCTGCTTTTTACAATAATATAATGTAACATTAGCATTATAAAAATAATAGTAATAATAATAATAATAGTAATAATAATAATAATAATAATAATAATAATAATAATAATAATAATAATAATAATAATAATAATAATAGTAATATATTATTTTTGTGTAAGTGTTTCACGGCGCTTGCAACTGCATAAGATCATATGAGAGCGGGACACGTTAAACTTTTTCAGTTGGTAGGAAATTTTGAATTTTGCCCGGATGGCGGCCGAAGTCGACTCTTGTCGAGTTTTGACCACCAAGGGGTCTTTAACGTGCACAACTTGCACACGGCCCCTCCGAGATTTTTTGCCCTAGTCCGAAAGGGTTAGGTGTAGATCTTTCCTACCAGAAGATCAAGGGTGTGGCTGATAGACAGCAGTAAGAAGGAGCCAAGGAGTTGCAGTAGAAAGGCTGCAGAAAGAGTCAGGAGCCCAGGTGAGGGGATGGGGGAGGAAAGAGGAGACGAAAGCAGACGGCAGAACATTGCTAGAGAGCAGGAAAGGAGGTGAAAGGAGATAATTTTAGAGAAGAAATGTTTTTCGGTCGCTGCCCGGATTTAAACCCGGGACCTTTGAATGAGAGGCAAACTCCTTAACCTCTTGGCCACGAGAGCCCAGAATAATAATAATAATAATGATAATAATAATAATAATAATAATAATTGCAATGACAATAATAATGATATTAATAATAATAATAATAATAATAACAATAATAATAATACCAATAATAATTTAATAATTTATATAATTAAAACATTTTGAAATATTATTACTATTTTCATTATTTTATATTATTATTATTATTATTATTATTATTATTATTATTATTATTATTATTATTATTATTATTATTATTATTATTATCATTATCATCATCAATATTATTATTGTTTTTGTTATTGTCGTGTCATTAATTATAGTTATTGTTATTGTTATCAGTTATATTATAAATAATATTGTTTTCATTATTATCATTTTTCTATATTACATTCTGTTATTGTTGTTGCTGATGTTGTTGTTATTGTTGATACTGTTGTTATTCTTCTTCTCCTTCGTATTTGAGGCCAAAACAACAAAATTAGTCTGAGACAACTGTTCCTGAATCGGATGGGACCATTAGGAAGATGAAATAAACCTCGTTTGTCTTAGGATATCGTAGAAAAAATTACAGTGTGTTGAGACTAACCTCCGCCATGACGCAAATCTAGAGAAATTTTGAGCGACTTCCAGTTAAGTAGGCTACTCTACATTAGGTAAGTGGTTTAAAGTTTTGTCTTGAGTCCATCAATTCACGAGTACCAGCAGGGGCAGCTCGTGGGGCTAAAAGTTGGCGTGCACAATAATAATTAAGCTATCGCATGCTGAAGATAGTCAAGAGCGTAGTAAATGAGACAGTGTATAATTTTAGGATATTTGGGTTGGTGAGGGAGGGCCTCGTGCTTTTATTTTCATTTTTTTTTACTTGTCGCTTTGATTTCTAGTACCAACTTTGTTTGTTAGCTAAACATCAATTTCGTTCATCCTGTATTGGAACTGAACACTCAAGTACATGTAATAACTTTTCACTACTCCACTACAAAATCATTCAAAAGCACAATTCATAGGACTGTTACTTTCACCTCCCTCAGGGTCACGGTTACAGAATCACTTAAAATAGTGGCAAGGCAAACAATGAACCAATCACAATTCACTTGATCCGCTGGATTGCTCCGGGGCTCACATAATACTGGTAAAGAATAGCGTAGGGTCTATCGTGTTTATTTTTAGACTGCCTACTGTGGGCTATGTTTCGGCACTATTCGGCAGAAGCACATTTGAGATGTGCCGGCTTATTAATATTGATATACCGCCAAACTCGCTACGAGTGTCGTCATTGCTTGGGTTATCCACAAGAGAGATTTATAGGTCAGTTTACACTGTTGAATATCTTTTTCTGTTTAGCTAAAAAGCGTGGACTTTGGCATGGCATAGTAGATGGTTACAGCGCTATAAACATAGAAATGACAGTTATGGCGCCGATGAGGAATTTTGTTTTGCTATGATATTTGGCTAGTGTTTGTATTTTATTATTGTGGGTGTTTTACGTAATGGAACATTAAAAATTTTTGGGCAGCACTGCTCTATGGACGAACCGCGCCTGAGTACCAGTAAGTAATATTTTAACGTGTACGTCTTGTTTCTGGGTGAAAGGGGCTTTAACCCTGTCCTTAATAATACTATTATCTCATCAGTCTGAATTACTTTGCTCTGTGAACTTATCCCCCCCCCCCCCCCCCCCCCACCAGGACAGACCTCGTGAAAAATAATAAATAAAAGATAAACTTTTATAATGTTAATGTGCATGTCTGGAAAAAGAAAATGGACAAGGAAAATTTCCCATTTCTCACTGAGATAATTATGGTAGTTGTGTACGTCTGCTCTTGATTATTGTTTAGACAGCGTCGTTTGATCCCGACACCTGTACGTTGTTAATTTATACAGGTCAAAATAAAAACAAAGTGCACATAATAAGGTGAGTGTGTACTTGCGTACAGCTGCGCCACCCAGTATAAAGTGGCAAAGCAGCACACCCTCCGTTCTAGAACTAGAAGAGTATACTAACTCAGTCGAGATAGATCAGGGCAGACACAAGTGAAGACACACCCGAGTTTACAACAGCAGAATCGCTTTCCGCCCGTTTTGGCACAGGTGTGTTTACACAAGCGGAAAATCTATCGAGGCCAGGTCAGCATCCTAGACTAGGAGGAGGGAGGAAGCGAGAATCAAGGGTCTGGCGCAGAAACCAGGAACGTTGAAAGGATTGGGTGTGTTCAGAGCACCGAGGCAGAGAAAGGGCATAGGGTGCGCGCTTTGATTGTTTGTTTGCTTGTACATCGCCAACAAGGCTAATCAAAGAAAGTCTCAGCAATGCCGTTTGCTTGTTTCTTGTTCTTAGGCCTAGGCCTGATGCTTTTTCCTGTCGATCTTGTTCGTTTGATCATATTTTTATTGTTTGCTACTGTTACCATAGATTTTTGTGTGTATTGGATGGTCGTTGTCACTTCGAATAGAGAGGGGATTTGGCCTAGGAAGGAAGGAGGGTAGGGGGGGGGGGGGGGGAGAGGGAGTGGGGTGAATTCAAAACTGCAATTAAGATTGTAATGGGGAGAGTAGAAGTACAGCAGATTTCAAACTGCATTTACAGCATGTTGATGTTTAGTTGTTGTGTATACAAAGTGGTAAGCTCAATACCACGGCATAGGTATTGTTTCCGAAACACTAAAATGAATAAAACTTGCAATTTTGAGCGTTGTGTATAAGAACACATGATATTATATAATATATATTTGGATGGAGAAATACTTGATCACATTACAAAAAAAGCGGGTGCACCTATCTCTGAATGATCTCACGGCACCCTTCGTTACATTTATTCTGTGTATACGGTTTAAAAGCCTTACATCTTTTTTTTGCCATTCTTTTCCAACTTCAAAAGGCAAGGAAAAAGTACAAACGCATACAGGCGTCGAAGAAACATAATACTGCTATATGTAATAGAAACGAAGATATATATATCCGACTCGCCGTTTCCGTTAAAGAGTTTGTTTACTTTTGGACCTTTTTTTGGCAAGGGACAATTGATAGTGAAAGCAGTAAACATAACTCGTTTTTCGAGCCAAGAAAGTCGTTTGGTAGAGCATACAGTTACTTTGGCAAGGGAACCTGTGGTGAGAGAAAAATACTTTGTAATTATTATTATGCTATGCTATGCAGTCTCAGAGCTCTGGCACTGAGAGGTCACACTTCTTTCTGTAATGCGGGGACCTTCGTGTTTTTTCAAGTTCTGACATAATCCTTCCTCAAGTCAATCAGCTTCGACACCAGTGCCCAGCAGTCTCCAGCTTATCCAAATCACATGCAAGCATGCTCTCTCTCTCTCTCTCTCTCTCTCTCTCTCTCTCTCTCTCTCTCTCTCTCACACACACACACACACAGCTACCACACCACACGCTAAAAGTATACCCATGCAATATTGCAAAATCAAAATAGAGTAAAGGGAGCAGTTGGTTCTATAATGATTAAAATGGGGGACCATCATGTGTTTGTCAACGCTTGTGAAAAGGAGGTGCTATTTGCCTTCTTTTTAAATTGAAAGAAAATTATAGACAAACATCAGGATATTTAAGCTATGTACCTTTGTGTTCTAACACGGCATTCATTCCTCTTTTATTTACCAAATCTGAGATTTTGTTAACTCTAGTTATCTTTATTATCATACCTTTGCCTTGTCCCACTTTCAAGACGGTGAAGACCTGAGGTCGTTTGTCAAATTCTTTTCCGTGATCAACAAAGACCTCGTGCAGTTTATCGACTCCGTTGACCAGCAGAATGGGCTGACCACCCACCGAGAGACTGACCAGATCCCCATATTTTTGTCGTAGTTTTCTGTTGAGAGCAGCAAAAAATAATGTAGAGCGACTTATTGCAGCTTATTAGACATTCTTAAAATATATTACAGCGTAATAATTACAAGTTATGAACTGGCTAGAAAAGGAATCGAAAGTATTACCGTTCTGGTATTTCCCCGTCACCCATCGATTCAGGTTTTCCATGCAAGTTTTTCTGGGTCTACTCCTGCCTCATTTGCCTTCAATGTTTCAAGCGTCCCACAAAACTCACGTGTCGTCCTACTCCAACTTGTTCTTATTTAGGAACAACCCTCGTGGACTTGTTATATGCTCCTCCTCATGTGATGTATTTTCCTTCCACTAGCTTCTCAACACTCGTCTCAGAAACCACATAACCGATGCTTCTATTTTATCTTCAATCTTTGCAAATTGTCAGGCATTTACAGTCACGTAGAAGCCTTATGTCATTGAGATGTTTTTATACTTCGCGGTTTTAGGCTCATTTAATTGAATTTGTCTGTAACTATTGCAATTCTTCTTTTTCTGTGAGCAATTGATAGTGTCACTTTTTTCTATTAAACCGGGGTTTAGGAGACTGCTGAGAATATCGTGGAAGGAAAAAAAATCAAATGAGATAGATCTAGTGCTCGATGAAGCCCACGTGGGACGTTCACTGTTAAAAACTATCAGGAGACGACAAAAGCAGTTTTTGGGACACTGAATCGACATAAAAGTCTTGAACAACTAGCTCTCACTGGCAAAATTGAAGACAAACGAGGCAGGGGTAGGCCCAGAGCAAAATACGTAGGTAATCTAAACAAACGGGTAACGGGGAACGATCAGGGAAACGTAGCTTTTTTTTAAAAAGAGCATCCAAGCAAAGGAATGAACGGAGAACCATAATCGCCGATGTCTGTCGTAGATCTGGCACTGGTTGATGATGAATACAAGGGCAATATCACTGTGCATTATGCTGAAGTAAAGCGTTGGAGAGTGAAGGGATTGACCACTCACAATAACTATGTAAAGTCATATAAAATGTGTCCTTCGCTGATCCAAGTTTGTTGGAGGCCTAAAAAACTGCCCATAAAAAACTAATTTCAGGACGCACTAAGGTGGATTTAAGCCAATGGCATCGGCACCATGGTCGAGAACTATACCAACAGAGCAAAAGTAATACTATCTGAAGAGAAAGAAGAAGTTACTTATTCAGTAAACAGTTTCCTTCTTTGCTCTTGTTTGCTCACCCCGAAGAGCAGGTGACTGGAAAAAGAAAATGTAAAAACAAACAAACAAACCCCCCCCCAAAAAACAACAACAACAACAACTCAACAACAACCCAACAACAAGAACAAACAAACCGCGAACCGAACCACTATATAATATGCTCACAAAGAGGCTAAGACAAGGCAAGCTGTATTACGATTACTGACATAGTTAATAAAATGTTGCTATTCTTTAATTTCTGGGTAAATTTTGACAACGAGGGAGAGGTGTGTGTGCACTGAAGCTGCCATTAAGCAACCCGACCCGACCCGATCTGATCCTGCTAATGTGCACCCGTATACGATTTTGACATTTCCCACTCTTTACAAGTATCCCCTACTCCTAGATTCAGAGCCCTGTGTGCACGCTTATCTTTAGATGCTGATCCATTATGCAGACAGTTTTTCGTTAATTGGGCTCTCAAAGGGATGTACTAGACTTTCAGAAGGTTCTACTTCCAACTCAAAGTTATGCTCCAATATAATATAATATAATAATAATAATAATAATAATAATAATAATAATAATAATAATAATAATAATAAATCCTACTGATGTTCCCATTCGCAATATGGCTGGATAGTTGTAATACGCATGCCTTAGCGCACCCTTCGTACACTATTTTCTATAGCTTGCATGACAAGGGAAGCTGAAAAGTGATAGTATAGCAAGGAAATTTGATTAAATGGAAATGTAACAAGAAATATCGTAAAAGAAAAAAAAAGAGAAAAGTTTGATTGTCTCAAGAAGTAAATTGTATTATTTTTTCTGTTTTGTTTGTTTGAGTGAAATGATGCACATCGACACAACAACGATCATTTTCTTACCTGAACACCTCTCTCTTATCAGGTTTCATAAGTAAGAAGAGATTCCCAACAAACGGCCAACCCCTGGGACCAGGGGGCAGTCCAGGTCGTGGGCGGAGTCTCCTTGCCAGCAGCAGAACCAGGAGGAATATGGCAATGGTCACTAGATTGTCACTGACCAACGTCACAAAGAAAGACATGATTTTCTTTTCTGCTTAGCACAGAAAGAGTTCAATCAGTCAGTGTTGTGACTCGCTTCAATAAACTGCAGTTCAGACGGCCTTGTTATTGGGTTGTTATTCCAAATAAAGACGTTGATTGATGCGATTCAGTGGGGGGAAAAGCTCTCAAGAACACTGGCGTTCGTCTGCAAAATTAATGATAAAAAATGAGATGTAAAAAGTTTATTAGATTGTACTGTCTATTTACCCCTCCCTCCCCCTACACTTTCCAATCTATCCTCTGCCTCTCTCCCTCCCTCTCCCTCCCTCTCCCTCCCTGTCCCCCCTCTCCCACCCTCTCTCTCCCTCCCTCCCTCTCCCTCCCTCTTCCCACTCTTCTTCCCTCTCTCTTTTTCACGAACCCCACCTCTCTCTCTCTCTCTTTATCTCTCTCTCTCTCTCTCTCCTTTCTCTCTCTCTCTCTCCTCTCTCTCTCTCTCTCTCTCTCTCTCTCTCTCTCTCTCTCTCTCGTTCGCTCTTACGCTCTCTCTCTCTCTTTCTCTCTCTCTCTCTCTCTCTCTCTCTCTCTCTCTCTCTCTCTCTCCCCCCTCTCTCTCTCTCTCACCTTCTCTATCGCTCTCCTTCCAACTCTCATTCCAACTACATTCATTATCACTCCTTTATTCCTCTTACCTCTCTCCACTGTCTCCACTAAAACTATACATATTTTGACTATCCAATTCTTCAGCCTTTAACATGTTTGTCTTAAATCCTTTGTTCCAGCCTTTTAGAAGTCAGGTTACATTTGGGTAAAACAGGTTACATTGTAATAAACAATTTGTTGTTGTTGCTCTTTTTATTGTTGCTTCATAATTTTTCAGTGCCATTGACACTCATGGGCGAAGAGTCTACATAATCAAATAATCACTGTCCGCCTTCCTAGGTTTGGGAAAATCGTCGCAGTCAAATTCACCCATAGACGTTGGCCGTAAAAATTTAAATTATAGACGTTCATGAAATTGCCAATGAACACATGAATACCCTGCTCAACCCTGTCGGCCCATTCCCATAAACATTCAGAAGCACTGATTATGTAAGCTAACAATTAGACTGGTAGATTGTTCCTCGAAAAGGGGAGGGGGGTAAGTTCGCAATAATTACACGGAAGCTGTGATTGCTTGCCTTTCTGTGTTTGCGGGGATGGCTTGATCTATGGCAATTATTATTTACTACATGTATTTCTATTACTATTATTATTATTATTATTATTATTATTATTATTATTATTATTATTATTACATGTATTATTATTATTAATATTATTATTATTATTTTTATTATTAGTAGTATCATTGTTATTTTTTAATCATTATTATTATTATTATTGTTATTGTTATTATTATCATTACTATAATAATCTTCCAATCATTTATACATTTGAACTGCTAATTACGCCGCTCATATTACAATTATTAACACCAATAATTGGTCTGAATAGTGCACAAAGTAAAAAGAGAAAAGAAAAAAATACAATACAATACAATAACAAACAAAAACGATGAAACTATAACAAAATCTTTGTCTCTACGAAAAGCCTCTACTAGAGTTAATCTCCGAGTCTCGGAGATCTTTGCCTCGACGAGTATTCGATTATTTAAACAATTTGAGTGAGTGTTCGCAGGGATTAAATGCTCGACTACTCGAGTAATCGAATGGACTTGAGTTCTCGCAAATTTCTTGTCTAGAGATGTCCCTCCTAAGGCTACGGCCAACTGGGTTCAGCTTACCCTACCTATCTCAAACTCAAGCAGTTTGAATTTTTATGGGTGATGTGATTGTTCGTATCTCGCTTTTTATTGCTTATTTTGTTCTACAGAGGACCCCTCCCCTCCCCCAGAACAGCGCCCTTTAGTTAAAAACCCAAACTATTATCCCACTTAATTCAGAGAGCCCCCCCCCCCCCCCCCCAATACAAGCCTAATACAAGGAGACCTAGAATCAGACAGAGCTTGTAGACTGCAATTGGTCCGAATCTCTTCTTTTTGCGAGTCGGTTTAATTTTCTTGTTCTAAAACGAACAACATCTCAAAGAATATTGTTGCCCAGTCGACTATAACAAAAAGCAATGTCTGCTCTCGGCTTCTGGCCACACGTTGAATCTGTTGTTTACCCGTGTGGAATCCATGGCGCCCATGCCGGCTTCATTCATGTATACTGTAAGTAAGACAGACATGGAACCTTGGCTCAGCAAACGCTAACAAATCTCTCTCTCTCTCTCTCTCTCTCTCTCTCTCTCTCTCTCTCTCTCTCTCTCTCTCTCTCTCTCTCTCTCTCTCTCCCCCTCCACCCCCCCCCTTTCTCACATACACACACTCCTCCTTCTCTTTATATAATATATACATACATACGTGTATATACTGTATAGCCTACATAATATGCACGTTCAACTTTGGCAAACAAAGCTGCGCCCTCACACTTAAACGAATGAGATGGTTTTAGAGCAATAGATTCTTAACCTTTATCAGTATTATTAATCTTTGATTTTTTAAAAATCACAAACATTCACTCATGTTAATATCATTTCATAAAAGAGATATGTGTCCTTTTTCCTTTTTTTTTTTTTACATTAAACAACTGCTTTACTCACCTATGGGTGAGACTTGTGGACAAATTGCTCTATAGTAGTCATCTGCGTAATTGGTAATGTTGTGCTTTTATAATAAATAATACATTAACATAAATGTGCCGCCTGCAATGATCCCTATCTCCAACCAAATAAGTAAGTAAGTAAATAAGTAAGTAAGTAAATAAGTAAGAAAGTAAGTAAGTAAGTAAGTAAGAAAGTCAGTCAGTCAGTCAGTCAGTCAGTCAGTCAGTCAGTCAGTCAGTCAGTCAGTCAGTCAGTCAGTCAGTCAGTCAGTCAGTAAGTAAGTTAGTAAGTAAGTAAGTAAGTAAGTAAGTAAGTAAGTAAGTAAGTAAGTAAGTAAGTAAGTAAGTAAGTAAGTAAGTAAGTAAGTCAGTCAGTCAGTCAGTAAGTCAGTAAGTCAATAAGTCAGTAAGTCAGTAAGTAAGTAAGTAAGTAAGTAAGTAAGTCAGTCAGTAAGTCAGTAAGTCAGTAAGTCAGTCCGTCAGTAAGTAAGTAAGTAAGTAAGTCAGTCAGTCAGTCAGTCAGTCAGTCAGTCAGTAAGTAAGTAAGTAAGTAAGTAAGCAAGCAAGCAAGCAAGCAAGCAAGCAAGCAAGCAAGCAAGCAAGCAAGTAAGTAAGTAAGTAAGTAAGTAAGTAAGTAAGTAAGTAAGTAAGTAAGTAAGTAAGTAAGTAAGTAAGTAAGTAAGTAAGTAAGTAAGTAAGTAAGTTTACGTGTATGACTGTCACACCGCTGTTGGTACACTTTCTATTATTTGCACGAACGTGATGCGGAGCCTATTTCGTGGTAAAAGTCGACTTGAGCGCAACCCCCCCCCCCCCCCCCGTTATTCACATATTTTTTGAAATAAGTGACAAGTGTTTTTCATAACGGCAACCCACATGTAGTTCCCCCATAGAGAGTGGAAATCCCGAGACGTACGACATCAAGTAAGTTCTGAATTAAGAGCTCGATTTGGCAAGACACGTCAATTTAGAGAAGATTGGTATAGAAAGGTTAAAGATAAACATTCCGATCTAATTGATATCCATACTAGCTAAACTATGGCAAGTGTAGATCCCGTTAGATAAGAAAACTGTGCTCATCGCAGTTGCTAGGTTGCTTACAATTTTGAACGTTCTGTAGGCGGCTTACATTTTTGGACCAACAGGGCACGTTCGTTATTTATACATAATCTAAAATTATATATAGATTCATATGTGTGTGTATGTGTATTATGTTTTGTGTTTGTGTGTGTGAGACTGTATATGAGAGAGAGAGGGAGAGAGAGAGAGAGAGAGAGAGAGAGAGAGAGAGAGAGAGAGAGAGAGAGAGAGAGAGAGAGAGAGAGAGAGAGAGAGTGGGAGATTAAAAGACAGGAAGACAGAGGGAGAGAGAGAGGGAGAGGAAGATATATATATATCTATCTATCTATCTATCTATCTATATATATATAATT